CAAATCTTTAAAAATTGCATTTTGATTTTTGAATGCGTCTTCTATCTAGACGAATGATTTATTGTGTGGTGGGACATTGAGAACAAATGGACAGATTAGAGTGCACCACCTCTTCCACTGTTTCCTCCTCTAATCTGGCAACCTTTTTAGGGGGCTTACCCTTTGGTGCCCAAAATGACAAAATATCTTTCTGCTTTTTTCCTGACATCTTTGAAAAATACAAATGCAACATTATGACAATGATTAAATATTACCCAGAGCAATCTGCTGTAATACATCCTTAATGTAACTAGAAAGACTATTAATATCACAGTATAAAATAATTTAAAATAAAATTAGTAAATCTTCATTCCTTTCCATACCCACTAACATTTCTCTTAGTTTCAGATAACGTAAGATAGCCAAACTGAGCCTGGTTGCAAAGTAGTTGTAGAGTTTTTGACAGCATCAATAATAATGTACGATGGGCTACATATTAAATGTTCTAGCCCAAAAATGTTAGACGAGCTTCTTCCAACTTACCTTCTTCTCCATCACGACACATGTGTTCGCGCGATGTTGTTGGTTACCTAGTAACGAACGTACGGTGGCCGAGGATGTTCCGTCCATTTCCGTGTGTTCGCGCTACTGAATGGCATGTCATGTATAGACGAATCCGACGAGCGTTCTGTGTAGGCTGCCATCTTGTGGCGACGCCATTACTGAGCTGTTACACAGGCATATAGACATATGCACCGGTATGTAAACAAACCTCGGTGATAACGCGAACTCACCCTCGATGACAGCTACAGCCAGGCAGAATGACTTGTTGGTTTGATCTGTGACTGCAGTGGCCTCCAGTCACAGATGAAGGTACAAACGATCTTACAGATTAACGTTATTTATGAAAATAGCTTGGCAAGCTAGCTAGGCTAACGTTTGCTAACGAGGAAACTATAAAAAGATCTGTCCATTTGGCAACAATAAATAAATAAATGAAATCAAATAAACAAATTCATGTTTTTCATTTGTGTCCATTATTTATCTCATTTTCACAATGCAACAGGCAAGGGTAAGGTAACGTTACAGCTAGAAAGTATACATAATATCGACCAATTAGTGTTTTTAAGCCATGGAAAGAGGTCAATATAACAGCAGGAAAACAATTATGTCACATAACGTTACATTTAGCTCAGGAAAGCCATTTAATGACCATAGCATGTTAATTGAATAGAAAAAATAGCAAGAGGAGATTTTGCTGATCACTATATCACATATTTATTATATATTTTTTTTACTTATGTCATTAAATAATTGTTATTATACGCGAATGTCCACGTCTTGTACTCGCCCAGGAAATCTGTAAACCGTACGGCACCAGACAGGGGCAGTCGACCCGGGGTATTCACAGTGTTTTCTCTTCAAAATTGAAATTTTACTGCCACCATTGAAACAATTTATAACAGAAACTGTTTACCCACTCGACATTATACAAGGGATAACGTTGTAACGATAGTGACAGTCGTAAATCGCGGGCTGTTTATTCCAGTGGACGCAAGTTGCAAATAAAACAATAGGAGGCAATGGCGCAACGCTACCCAGCAACAGCTCAGTAATGGCGCCCCCCTTACTTCCGGTAGTTTCGCCGGATTCGTCTATAGATCAGTGGTGCACGCAGCGCGCATATATGTTGCCTAGTAACGAACGCAATCTGGCGGAGATACGCGCTGGCGGCAGGAAACTTCACTTTGTTTGCCTGCGCCTCGTATACAACGTTAGAAAGCTTTCAGCCAGGACAACTTGGTTGGCATTGCCTTTTCAGCGTGAGAAATACACAGTGTGGCGTGTGAGCGTGTGAACCGGTCGAAATGAGTATGTCTCACGGCCAATGCGTGAGACTTGAGAACCCTCTAGCGATAAGTCATTAAATAAATTATGGCAATGGATGTTAGTAGGTCAAACTACTGTATATCGCAGCCACCTCACCAGTCATTTTTAATCTAAGTATTAATGTTAAAGAAAGCCCCTTACACTTGTGAGCGGCACGGAGGAGGTGTTTAGGTGTTTCTACCCCATATCTGCTTCGAGGTCTTGATAAATTGGGGCAATTCTTTGTTGTTTAAAATCTAATTTTCCCATAATTCTTTTGTCTTTTATGAGTTTAATAAAGTACGACTTTTACGTACGGCAGGTGTTATGCGGAAAAACAATTTCCATTGTAGTTTTAAGAAATCTACATTTTTCGAATTGCTTGAAAAACTACCTCAAGTGAGTGTAAAACTTTTTTAGCGATATATGGGAGTTTTTGCGAAATTGACGTCTTTCCATTGAACGTATTTTCAATTCCCAAATTCAATCTGCGCACATCGAAGGGTAAAGGAAACGCAGCTATTTATATGAATCATGTTTGTCATAACTGAACATTTTGTGTTTTCAACATATTAGGCATATGAATAAGAGTGAATGTGTGCATATTTTAAAATAGAAATATTATTTGAAAATAGTTCAATTGATTACTTGAGTTACAAAAAAAACTTTTTTCTTGTTCTTTTCCCGTTCCTTTCTTTTTCTATTTTCCCATAAATACATGTCAATTATTAACTGCGTTTACAACTGCCTTGGAAGCTGAAGCTTAGGATTGTGGTTAGGCGCGTTAAATTTACGCCAAGCTCTTGAGGTGCTTGGCCAATCACAAAGCACTTTGAGCTTTCAGAAGGAGACGCTTCCTTGTACTAATCAAGTTTCAGAAAGACTGGTAAGAGAGGTGCTGCAATAATGTACAGTGTGTGAAAAATAATGTGTTTGTTTGGAACATTAAAGCATGTTAACCTATTCTATTACACCAAAGAAGCAAAACAACAAACCTTTAAAGGGGTGATGAACTGAGAATTCAGCTTCCTTGAGCTTTTGACATCTAAGAGGTCACCGATTCGCACATTACACGCATAGCTAAATAACATAGATTTCTACCTCATGAGGACAAACCGGATCAAGCTTCCGAGCAATACAAAATGTTGTGCAGTGCCTGGTTGTGGAAGAAGACAGTCGCTGCATAAGCTTCCTCTGGATTCCAATAGGACTGCATGGATAAACTGTAAACTGTAACGACGTTCCAGCTGATGAGGTAAAACATTGTCCGTCTGTTCGCTTCATTTCACTGAGGATTGTTTTGTAAACAAGACTGGATTTGCAGACCGATTAAGAGTAAAGAATGGTGATGTGCCGTCTATATTGGAACCAAAAGGAATGGTGCAACACACGGACTCTGGGTCGAACGTGTATGGGCGAATCATTCCGGTTGCCATTTTACAACATTGGACGTTTTCAAAACAATTTCCCCCTATGTGCACCGATGAGTGAGTTGAAACTCATTATAATATGCAAAACTGTTATCCACTCACAGCAGTAGGCGTTTACTTCCAAGTCTTCAGTGCGAAACGCCCATAAAAACCGAGCGTTTTTTAACTAGGCTCAAAACTAGGGTAGAAAATAGCCTATTACTTATTCATTTTGATGTTTTTGAATGCAAAAACCAAGCGAACGTCATAAGTTGACCTCAGACAACAATATAATAAAATTTAAAAAGCCAGTTCATAACCCCTTTAAAATAGCATCATATGACCCCTTTAATTATTTGATTCCTTTAAATAAAAAGGCCATTATGAACCGGCCTTGATGTTAATGACATAAATCATTTCAATTAGTGCTGTTCGGCAGTTGGGTAAAGGTAACAAACCTCTTTTCTCTACCGCCCGGATGCATTTCTCCACAAAACTGGGCACTGTCGTGTTCTCCTGGTTACAGAGATTGTGCAAGTGGCATCCAAATACATTTTCTAAAATGAAAAGAGTCACATTAGAATCATTCCTCAACAAGCTTCTGTCAAAGTAATAGGAAATGGATGAGGTACTGTAGAGTACTGGTCTGACCTCTGATATATCCCTTCTCTTTGACTGACTGCAGGGTGGGCCGCTTGAGGAGAAACTTCTTCAGTTTGGAGCGAACCTTCTTCTGATCGGCTTCAGAAGTCATTCGAGATGCTAATAAACAGGAAGAGGGCATTACATATTGACACTCATTACCATTCTCTGTTCAAAAAACGTTTTAGTAGCTTTAGTTCTTTATTAATGGATAAACATGTACTGACATACTGCTCAAATATATCATTCGGGTCCAAACGACATTTAATGTTGGACAAAATAATTTAAATAATTTTTCAAAATATGTTCTATTGTTTTAAACAGAAGAAAGTCACTCAGGATTGGAATGACATGAAGGTGAGTCAAGGATGACAGTTTTTTTTTTAATTTTGGGATGAACTGTCCCTTTAACTCTGGTAGTCTTTGGTAATTTTGGAAAAGTTTTATTATTATTATATTTTGCTTCATCATAATGGTTTGAAACTTGGTGATTTTTGTGGCACTTACTATACATAAATATATATGTTAGCGCTGTCAAATGTATTATCAGAATTGTTCGCATTTAACATAAACGTTTGAGTTTATATAACATACATGTGTGTGTACATATATATACAGTATGTATGTGTGTGTATATATACAGTATATAGTATACACACATACAGTATATTATATAACCACAAATTTATGTTAGATGCAATTAATTGCAGTTATTCAATCAATTTAACAGCACACACACATTATTTCTTCCACCAGATGGCACCAATCTTACTTCAACGCATTATTTTTATACAGAAATAAACGCTGCATAATTTTGTAAATGTTGTCAAGTATCACGAAATCCTCTTAAAATACAAAATATTAAAGAGTTTATATCATGTAACCAAAATATAATACATTAAATTATTTAAAAAATGTTTACACTTACTGTAATCGGTCTATTTTGACCACTAAAAGAGGAAAAGAATGATTTGTCACACTACCATTGCTCATAGTTCTTTTGTCAAAGGCTTTTTCCTCTCTGTCTAAGCTTGAGGACTTCTCACTGATTTCCTCCTCATCTTCAGAGTGATGCTGATCCAAATCCTGACAGCACAGAGCAAAAAGTCAGACACGATTATGCAGATTTCATGGAGAAAACCAAAACCGAGAGTTTGTTATTGATCACGACGCAAGGCTCACCAGCTGGTTTATGGTATCTACGATGACTTTATACCAGTCAGTGATGATGCTTTCAGTGTCGTACTGGATCAAGTACTCTGCGCCGTTCCGACTCTTCAGCTGAATGAATAAATAAACAAGGGATGCATCAACAAGATACACTAGTAAAGTAGATGATCATCCAGCACAATCTTGGGGAGTGTTAAAACGGCCATACCTCAAAGACATTTTTCTTGCTTGACTTGTCCTTGGTTGCCCAGCCAATTGTAGCCCCTTTCAGATCAACTGTGAATTCTGGGACTATATGATTGGTCTTGCTCTACATAATATAAATACGTTCAGTGTTACAAAATGAAATACTTGATAATGCAAATTCCACATTTGTGGATTTAGATTCTCACCGATGCTCCGGTTGGCGTGGACTTTGGGTCCTTATGGAAAGTCAGTATTCCTCCATGGAGAACCGTCCAGGAATTACCCCAGTTCTTCCTGTGGGAGGATTGATAAGATATTAGACATTTACATACAATTGTTATTTTTCACCAATACAGTTATAGCTATCATAGCAGTACCACCACTGATTTAAGTTCATGATGGAAAACTTTACCTAATTTTCTTCCCGTTTTCAGACACTTTTGTTTTGTTCAGGATTCCAGCCTTTTCCAAGTTTGAAACCTGGAAAAATATGTATTCATTAATACAGCCTCTCTGGCAAAAACACAGGATAATATCAGGATTATAGTACAGAATAATATCTGACAACATGAAAGTGATGTAAATATTAACCTTTGAGGTTCAACTCAAAATGCAGAACAAAAAAGGTAGATGAGCATTTAGCTATTTTAAAAAAGCAATGGTTATAAATTTAAGAGAACATTCAGAATATGACACTGTTTATTATGCTTATTTAATAAAATAAGTCACAAGCAGCCAATTGTTATCCGAACAGATAAGAAATGTTTGAGCTAAAACTCCTAAATTGAGGAAACATCAATATGATATACACCAATTTTCAATAATTTGTTAAATAATAGTCAAGTACATTTAATTTGTATTGCACTTTTCACAACACAAATTGTTTCAAAGCAGCTTTACAAAAAATATTATAAATATTATAATATTTATAATACCTTAATACCTTCTTGCCTTATAGTCGCATTTAGCAGATTTGAGCTGGGCGATGATATAGTTTACATTTTGGTACGATACAAGTAAATCAAGCTGTTGATATTTCCGTATATATACAATATATTGCATCATGTATAGTGCATGTGTATATAAATAATGCAGATAAAGTTATACTTCGAATATCATCCAAATAATATAATAATTCGCCAATATAAGCCAATGTGTAGGCTGTTATTGTCTTCAAGCAAACTAGTAACATTGTTTACAAGTGTTTGTTCATCTGCAATTTACATCCAGGTCATCCAATCAGAATTTAGCATCAAAACTGTTGTATAAAACAAACAATCCAGTATTATGACTACATGTATGAATGATAAAAGCCTTTCTGTGGCAGTACCATGGTACAGTGATGTCTCAGATGGTAAAACCATGGAAATCAACGATCCTCTAAGGTATTTAAAGGGTTAGTTCACCTAAAAATGAAAATTCTGTCAGTATTTCTCACCCTCATGTTGTTCCAACCCCGTAAGACCTTCGTTCATTTTCGGAACACAAATTAACATATTTAAGATATTAAGATCGCTCCTGCATACTAGTCCATAGGCTTCTTGAGGAATTGAAACTTGTCAGCCTCGAAAAGTTATTAAAGACATCGTTAAAATAGTCCAAGTGACTACAGTGGCTCAATCTTAACTTTATCAAACGACGAGAATACTTTTTGTGCGCAAAAACAACCAAAAATAACAACTTTATTTCAACTATTCACTTTCTTCTCTATGGGCCTGTAGTCAGTTAACGTAGTGTGATAGCGTAGAGCTACGTCACACGTAGGCTCACTATTGGCCGACGCTGGTCGTGTGTGATGCGTACAATAACAGAAGCTTACGCTATTAAACTAGTAACCTGACTCGAGGCAGAGAGAGAAGTAAATGAATAGTTGAAATAAAGTCGTTATTTTTGTAGTTTTTTGCACACAAAAAAAATTCTCGTCGTTTGATAAACTTAAGATTGAGTCACTGTAGTCCCTTGGACTATTTTAATGACGTTTTTAAAACTTTTCGAGGCCGGCAAGTTTCAATCCCTCAAGAAGCCTATGGACTAGTATGCAGGAGTGATCCAGCTCTCAGATTTAATCAAAAATATCTTAATTTGTGTTCCGAAGATGAACGAAGGTCTTACGGGGTTGGAACAGCATGAGGGTGAGTAAATACTGACAGAATTTTCATTTTTGGGTGAACTAACCCTTTAAAAAGTACTAGCAGGGTAAATGTCCAAAAACTCAAGGTACTGCCATGAATTTGCATCTAAATCTCATGGTAGTATCATGACACATTTGGTATTTGTTTGTCAGAATGGAAGACAGCAATCAGGCTCTAAGTTTCACTAGGAACCACCAGAGGACAGTGTGGCAAAATATTGCACTATATTCACTCGTCTAGTCATAATCTAACACTTTTGATCAGACATCTGTCCACTAGTCCTAGCCTACTCTTTCCCAGTATTTATTGTGGAACTGTATAATAAAAATGTCCTGTGTCATTTATGCAACATACATTGCATCCTTTATACAGGGGAGGCATTCCCAGCCAAGAAAAAACATTTAAAAGTTCATGGCAGAGCATATATTATCTACCTAACAAGTCACATGATTCTAGCTTACGTTATGTGATAATAATCACATAACGTTTGAAAACTTCATTCATGTAGTTTATTGTAAAATTTCGATCAACTGGATTTTGCCCACATTTTCTTATGCATAAACATCAAACTGCAATCTTACATTATGTGGCATCTCAGGAGAGTTGGAGGCGTCACTGTCTGATCTATTCAGAGGGTATGATGAATGACTCTTCTGTTAAGACAAAATCACATGTGTAATTCACACTCTGCAAGCCATCGAAGCTCAAAAAAGAGAAACAAAGCCATTTAACTGTCGGCAAATATACAATTTTCAGTATTTTTCCATAGCGTGCCTCAGTAAACAGTAAATGCCACTAGTAATATGGTCCAGTATCAGTGTTTTAGCAACTGAATTTATTTCCATGGATCAGTTCAGTGAAGACAGAATAAATAGTGAGTATATGTTTGCATATGCTACTGAAAGACTGGATTTTTAAATAGAGCAACTCTATAACAAACTGAGCCTCAGGTGCATTCTAGAGCCTATTTAGGAAACACAGTCACTAAGGACACACATGAAGGATCAGGTGTGCGTCACATATGTCAGGGCATCTCTCCGTGGAAGTGTTTGTTTATGAGTGCGGATGAACTGCTGGATAAAGTATGATAGTACCTTATTATTACAGATATTTTACTCCTATTAGCCAGAAATGTTCTTTTTCTAACCCAGAGATATTGTTCTCTATAACACATGGAATGGATGTGCTTTATTCACAAAAGTTGTACACAATTTTGGGCATTAGTTAAACTGGCAACTTTGAATGGAAACCTCTGCGAGTACATACATCTTCCTGGTATCCAGTACTGTGTCTCCAGCTTTGCTTCGATCCCATTGAGTCCTGCTCTCCTGAGACTCCATACTTCCCTGGATTTCCAGAGTACTAAAAGTGTGAGAGAGAATTTGTATTAGAAATTATGCCTTTATGATTTTGTACTTGTTGTAAGTATACTGTAAATAAAACAAAGATTATTGGAGTGAGTTTTACAAGAAAAAAAAAACATTTTGGCAGAAACCATTTCTTTGTAGGAATTTAAGAAATTTACGAGCAATTTCTGAGTGAAAAGGGTTTCAAAGTCAATCAACAGCCACTTTATTCAAGGAAAATAGCAGCAAGGACATTCTGCCAAATCTATAATTTTGTGTTTTCACTGTATATAGAAAATGATCTCGGAATGACATGAAAGTAAGTCATAGTTTAGGACAGTGGTTCTCAGCAACCTTCCAAGGGGGCATTAAGCTAACTTACAATGATTTAAAATAAGACAAAACAACTAAAAAACAATATGTCTTAATGTAGCTTCATTTACCCCCTTAACAAGTGGTTATTTTTATTTATTTATTCATTTTTGAAGAAAAAGAACCAGGATTCTCAACATGGAAAGCTTAGATACAAAAAAGAAAGCCACATTTTAAAAGTATGATTTCCAGAGCTGGAAAAGTCATAGAGATAAATGAAATATTGAAAGTCCATAGGCATTTTTATACACTTTATGAATAAGCATATTTATAGTTATGCCCTGCTCTAAAATATTTTACTGAGAGATATTTTACTGCCAGCAGACAGCAGGTTTGGATTCGAATATAGTTCTTGGTGTGAACAGGCCAAAGATTCCCACTGTATCCCACCTCAGGTAAGTTCCACTGGGACTTGCTGCCGTCTCTTAGGTAGTAGTACGTCCGCCCTCGATCATCTAGCGACTTAATCCACTGTCAAAAAGACACTTCATTAGTTCACCAAATTGCAAAACTAGCCTACAGCCATACTCTCATACATCTCACTAATAATAGCAAGTAATCAGCCCAAATAATATAAGGACACGCCAAGGTCAGTGTCAGTCCTGTACCTGTTCCTGCGTGAAGTGGCTTGTGAAGACCCAAGTTCCTTCAGGGTCAATGCTGAGGGTCCATCCTGGTGGGGTGCTTTGATCCAGACTTACTCTGGGAATAAAGACCTTCTTCATATTAATCAAAGAATATTCTGCTGACATAGAGAGAGGAGACGATTCCTCCAGTTCTGGCGATGCTGGGTAGTCTTCCTCAGGAAGCGGAAGCTACATGTTGAGAAGCAAAGAAGGCAGTGTGAACATTAATCAAACTGTAAAGAAATAATGGTTGAAATTAACCAATTATTATAGACAGAAACCTTTTTGAAAATATGATTATTTATCAATTGTATGCAATGCATTATTTTTGCAGTTTTTTAATACAACATATACTTTAGGCTCAACAGCATATACTTTATCCACAATAATATTCAAAGGCCCCATGATATTTTCTGTTGCTCATGATTTACTGGATGGAGATTTACCCTTTAATGCATACCTCGGGTCTTTATCGACCCAGCGAGTCATTCACAACCCTCCCTCTTTTTCATTTTTAAAGTTAGAGATCAACTTTAAACAATTTAACAAGAAAAAATAAAATGATAAACGAATGTCTGTTTAAAAAAATAAGGAAAAAAAGTGGAGATAAGGTTAAACAGCATGAAGCTCATGAAGAGTCAGAATGCCAGTCTGTCAGTAAACAGTAAATAAATGACTTTCAATTGATTCATTACAAAAGTGCTAACAGACGCTAGAACAGACCTCATTGGCCCTTTCCCAAATGGCACCCTAAACGCTCGTGTTCTTCCCTTGAGTCCGCAATTTCGTGACCACTTTGACTGATGGGAAGAAGTCTGCTGTGGAGCTCGCTTCAGTGTGCGTTGACCACAAAGAAACCTAAAATTACAAATTGAACACCCTACAGCCTCTTGGACTTAAAGGGATACTCCACTTTTTTTGGAAATAGGCTAATTTTACAACTCCCTCAGAGTTAAACAGTTGAGTTTTACCGTTTTTGAATCCATTCAGACGATTTAACGTAACGTAACCAGACAGTTTCTGGTCTCATTGACTTCCATAGTAGGAAAAAAATATAGTATGGAACTCAATGAGACCAGAAACTGTCTGGTTAATCGACTGAATACATTCGAAAACGGTCAAAACCCAACTGTTTAACTATGGAGGAGTGGTAAAATAAGCCTATTTCCAAAAAAAAAGTGAAGTATCCCTTTAAAGAACACACACACACACGGCAGCCATTGTAAGTCCACAAGTCCAAAAGTGCATATGAAGTGTGCCATTTGGGACAGGGCCATTGGTGTGTGGGTAATGGGTTGCCAAACCCACTTAAAGGTGCATACCAGACACCTGCTGACGTAAAATAAAGGATCGGGCTTAGGATAGCAGATACCGATCAGTGTAAAAAAAAAAAAACGGCCTTGATACTGATCCTTGAGATCAGCCCAGTAACTTAATTCAGATTACCTTTTACAGTGATATTATAGACCTTATGTAAAAAAAATATATATATTATATATACCTTCATGGGCATTTTTTATTGAATATATGTATTTTTTTTTTTAAATAATGCCAAGCTATACAATATTTCATGGGGTAGAAATTATAATAAAAACTGAAAAAGTCATGGGGCCTTCAATGGCAGGCTTGGAGTCAAAATGGTTAAGAACCCTTGCGATAACTAATTTAAATCTGAAAGTTAGCTATATTTACATGAATACCATAATATATGAATATGGTAATGATTTAGACCATAGTACACGTCAAAGTATCATTCGTCTGAATCAGCAGAATAACCTCCATACCGGGAAATCTTCCTGACATGTTGCGTTCCCTGGTGAGCTGATGTCCTCCGGGGGATCCCATGAGCTCTGGCCCGACACGGAGTTAAAGAAGTAATGTCTGCCAGTATTGTCATCCAGCAATTTCTCCCAGTCGAGCTCCATCTCTGAGGAGAAGGGCCTGCGGGCGAGCAAGTGGGAGACTGGGGAAAGAGGGAGGAGAACGGGCCTCTTCCGTCGCCACTGACGAATCCATGGAGAAGCTGAGGGGAAAGTCCCAGGTGCTCCGGCCAGTGGAGGGATGGAAGTAGTACTCTTGCCCGCTCTGGTCGTCAGTATGGACCTCCCATCCCGCAGAGTCCAAAAGGAGGGTATCGGGAGGGTCCGGGAAGTTCTGTAATGGAGGAGTTATGGGACTGGAGGTGCCAATGGTACTCCGACGCACACGTGGGATGTTTACATACACACGCTGTGAGATTGTTGTCATCCTCTACCTGATGGACAAAAATGAGGAGCATTGCTGATATTAAAATAAAGCCAGGATTAACAGATTAGAATGGCAGTTGACAAAAACGTTTAGCTTAACATGCATAGACTCTCAAATATGATGATCTTTTTGAAAGGAACCCCACCCTAAGCAATATTTACATGTAAAGATCCATTTATACAAAAAATATAAAAATAGTCATTAAATAGTTATTATGTAAAAATAATATGTGGAATATTAAAGAAAACATGTTGTTTGAATAATTAAATAAAGCTCTTTAAATAATAAAAATCATAAAAAACATTTTCATTGCTTTAAATAATATACCAAAATAAACTCAACAAAAAATATTGCAACTAAAGTAAAATTACATCAGAAAATATTATTATTATTATTATTAAACAGAAAATATTAAAATAAAATCCAATTAAAAATGTTAACAAAAACTATAATATAGTTTTTGCTATAACTGGTTTTATACTGTCATTGCACAAAAAGCCCAAACAAATTATTAAATATTTT